CAAGCTGTGTGGTGGCTCGTGATTGTGTGCCCAGCCAGACTGTGGCAATTTTTTAGCAGTTATTGTTTTAGGGAATGCACTAGTTGCTTGGAATAGAGTATGAGCAAAAAACAGGTGAGGTTTCAACTTTCAAAGAGCTTGTAAGTAGTAGGGAAAGTGCGGGAATAAATAATTATGCAAATAACCATGTAATTATTAATGGTGAGTGCTATAAAAGACAAGGATAGAGGGTTTTGAAAAAAATATAATAGAAGAATTCAATTGAGCCTGCAGGATCAGGATTGCAGAGGTAGTGAAGGTAGGGGTTCCACCAAAAGTTAGAAAAAGTATTTGCCAGCAGAGGAAATAACACATAAGGTCCTAAGGGGAAAAGGAATTTAAGTTGGACTGCAGTAGCTGGGAAGCTAACATGGCTCCAGCATGGTGGCAGCTTAAAATTACAGAAGCAATCATGTAGGGCATGGTAAGCCAAGTCAAAGATTTTTAATTTTATTTAAGAAAAATGTAAAGCCCCGGCTGCGGATGTGTCTTAAGCTGTAGAGCGTTTGCCTGGCATGCGTGCGGCCCGGATTCGATCTTCAGCACCACATAGAAACAAAGATGTTGTGTCCGCCGAAAACTAAAAAATAAATGTTAAAATTCTCTCCCTCTCTCTCTTAAAAAAATAAAGTTGCCAACCCCCAAATAATAAATATTAAAAAAAATGCAAAGCCACTAGAAGATTTTAAGCAGAGAAATGACATAATATCATGTCCCTTATAAGTTGACACTCTTATAACTATTGGAAATTTGATTGAAGGGGCAAGTTTAGATATAGAATAGACAGTGAGGTTTTCATAGTCATCCGGAGATATCAACCCTTAGTAGAGATATGGAATTTTCAAGGATGACAACCACATTTCTGGCAGAGCCATTTGGGAGGATAAAGTTACTACTGACTATTAAAAGGAAAAACTAAGTGCAATTAGATTTGGGGGGTTCAAGAGGCTTTAGTTAGGAGATGAGAGATGCTTCCTTCTCTTGTCTATGGTAAAACAATGATAATAAAAGAATGTAGAATTAGGTAATGATTGAACCATACAACTTTTGCTTTTTAGTACATTTAATGCACTGTGCTTTAGAAATAAATATATCTGCTAGAGAAGCAACCAAGATGCTACAGAGCAATCTTTTTGGACTTTTCCTATAATTTACTTCTCAGTGAAGCAATCTTATTTTGGCAAAGTTCCCCCATAATCAACTCTAGCAAGTCAGTACTAAGCAAACCAAGCTTGATCAATCTTACCTCCATCAATATAGTAACTAACAAAAAGTAAAATCTTTTTGCCAGGACCAAACTAAACAAAATTAAAGTCATGAATGACCCAATATTTCTTTTAGGGATTAAGAGAATTTCTAAATTCTTGTTCTATTACCTGAGGACAGCAGGCAATTGTTTTTCTAAGCAAGAATAAAGCTTATTTTTTTTAAAAAAATATATTTTTGTAGTTGTAGATGGACACAATACCTTTGTTTTATTTGTTTAATGTATATGGTACCAGGGATCAAACTCAGTGCCTCATGCATGCTAGGCAAGTGAGCCACAGCCCAGCCCCAAGAATAAAGCTTTATCTACCAACATTATTACAGCACTGTTTCACCATCATGGAAGTGTTCAGATTATGAATTTATCTTCTGTATTCAGATTATATAAAATTGATTTGTCCAAGTGTTTTGCTTTTCCATGCTGATTGGACTGTCAGGACAAACATTGTGAGGCTGCTAGAAATAGCACTATGTCTTATACACCTTTCACCTGTAATGTATATTCAGTGAGTGTTTGAAGAAATGAATATTTTGTAGATTATAGTTCTAAGAAAAAGATGCAGAAATATGATAGTGACTTCAATGTAGGTAAATATCCAGATAAATAAATTGGAAGATAATTCAGACCATACTAATGAAACACTAGGTTCTGAATTATCACAGTGTAACAAAATAACTTGTTTATAGAAAATAACTACTTAGTGTTCCAAGATAGTAGCTTAATTCAATGAACAATAAAGGGAGACTATATTTACCATGATTTTAGAAATGTAGTAAATAGAGTTCAAATACAAGCTGTTGTTGACTATGACAACACAAGTAATTTATTTTTTTCTTTAAAGGAGTTCACAAATCACTATTTGTTGCCATGCAAAAAGAACTCCTTAGGTTTACAGTGCTTAAAAAGGGCCAAGGGTGGGGCTGGGCATGGTGGTGCAGGCCTGTAATCCTAGCAGTTCTGGAGGCTGAGGCAGGAGGATTGTGAGTTCAAAGCTAGCCTCAGTGACCTCAAGTACTAAGCAACTCAATGAGACCCTGTCTCTAAATAAAACACAAAATGTGGCTGGGGTGTGGCTCATTGGTCGAGTACCCCTAAGTTCAATCCCAGATACCCCCGCAACCTCAAAAAAAGGGGCCAAGGGTGAATAATATGAACAAAGGTCACAGAGGATATACTCAAAAGACAGGGACACTGAAAACATAGTTGAGTGAGTTCCAAAATTGTTGAAGTTCAATTGCTCAACTAAGATGGAACCCAGTCTCTGAAAAGTAATGTCTAATTAAAGTTTGAGGTGTGCATTTATACAAGTGGTTCTCAGGATAAACTGGCTTAACCACCACATCAGAGGTCCACCTGATGCAAGAGAGCAGGTTGGGTGTTGATGGGGAAGCTCCAAAGCTCCAATGCCTGCCAAAGATAAGAGTGCAGCCCTGATAGGGTCTAAGATCTCAAAGTGTCTATCAAACTGTTGAGTTTTGAAGTCCAGTGGTTAAAATAAGTAACTAATATGGGGGATCTGATAAGGTATGAGGAGCCATTCCCTGAGAGGAGAGTTTGCTCCAAGTTCCCACATATATACACAAGTAATTTCTTATGCTACAAACAAACAGAGAGCAGTAAATATAAACATTCACAATTAGGTTTATTAAAATACAAAATGGATTTTTCTGGCAATGCGTATAGCTTTTTGAAAAATCTATTCAGTTAAAGACAATAATTAAACAGTTATTCAAATTGTATGCCATTAAGAGAAAGGAAATATTCCATAAATTATGCAATTAATTATTTAAAATCTCTCAGCATGTTTGACTTATTATCATTTGTTTCCATAATTTTTTAAAAGCATGGTTAAACTATAACCTCAGTGGTGCCTTTTGAATGATCCACAACAGGGCATTCTAACTTTTATTATGCAATCATTTATAAATTTTGGATCATTTACATTTTATGTGTAAGCAACACCAATGATGACTCAGGAAACCAATGCTGTATGGCCCTCTCCAACAGTGCCAAGGTACATAGCCTAATGTGTGTTTTTTTTAAGACTTTAAAGACTGCACTGCAAGAAGGGTTGCTCATTTACCTCAGTGACAGAAATTGGTAGTCTCTTCAGAGGGAAACTGGCAGACTCAGGAGCAGGTTAACTGGCTAACCTCCTAATGTTTTATTTTCTTAGTATATATATTCTTTCCACATGCATGTATAGCCCTATAATAATCACAAATCACAATTTTAAAACAATAACAAAGTTAGTCACATGATGAAACAAAACCATATAATTAGTTTTCTGCATCTATCTTGGAGATAGTGCTTTTCCCAAAGTTCCATAGAACTTAGTGATAGTCATACTATTAAATTCTCTATTATATAACAAACAAAGCAGAAACTCTGTATATGCAAGAGGAACAAGTTAATTCTCTATGGTCCCAGGGTTATGATACCAAAAATAAACTGAACTCTTTAAAATGAAGATATTTTTATTCAAAAGTTTTGATTCTACCCCATGACTTTTTGTTAAAGCTAATAAAGAATAAAATAGGCTAAATTGAATTAAATTCTCTATTTTTTTCATAAGTTTTGAGCTCCAATGAATGCATCATGAGTAGTAAAAATGCATTAAAATTAATCAGAGAATCTGGGTGAATTTTGAA